GAGTGGAAGCCCAAAATCTCTGTAAATGTTTATGAAAATTAATAAAATATAATAAAAAAAAACAAAAAAACCCCAAAAAACTCAGTTATCCAGAGATAAAAGGATCTGAGTGCCAGATGTTGATAGATCAAAATGAATGCAGAAGAATCTTACAGAGCCTCCTTCAACTCTGCTCCTATGGTGAATTCCTGATTTCCCTCACCATTAAAGTTGTGAAGCCAATCTCCCGTTGCCTAGTGACACTGCCAGTAAGGCAAATCCTTCCATTGCAGCCCTCCATCTGGTTTCAGAGGCCATAAAGAAATATTTATAGGAGGAGACTGACCATCTTTCTCCTGAGGAGTAGCTGGTGGATTCAAACCACTGACCTTTGGGTTAGTATTCCATCGTGTTATGCAATGGACTACCAAAGCGCCTTTGGAGTGACATATTCCTCTCCAAAGAAAAGGACTCACATTCTCCATTGATGGTGCGTAAGTTCTTTCTGGCCTACTGAGTAGAACCTATGGATTCTCTGGCTCAACAAGTGCACATCACACCACATTTTCCACACAATGTCAGGAGGCTCTTGGACTTCTTGAGGGAGGTGGGGGAAGAAACAAAAAAAACCTAAAACAAATCCCCCCAAAACCAAAACACAACTCCTCAATTTAATCTTTGTAATATTCTTTCTAAAAGGAATAACATCCTTCTTACATTTGGGAATTTCTTCTGCCCCCAAGGAGCAGAGCAAATACAAACTAAACAGAACAGCATAAAATAAAACAAACAAAAGTTAGCAAAACGCAATTCAATAAAAGAGCACTTTATTATTTTTTAAAATTTTTGGAAAAGAGCAGGGATGGGCAAAGTGCACACTCTTTCTCAGGCCCCCTTCTGAAATGTCCTGACAATTCCATGCGTAAATGACGCCTTAAATTTGAAAACTAACCAACACCCGCTAAGAAGGAAATCTTTTGTTCATTTAAGTTCCTCCTGGGAAACTCAAATGGCTTACACTTGACTATTAACCTAAAGTTTCTTTATTCCAACCCACCCAGCAGTGCCACAAAAGAAAGGCCTGGTAAGCTACTTCCCAGATCACAGAAAAACAAATAAACAAACGAAGAAAATGAAAACAAACAAACAAAACCCAAACCCCAAAACCTATGTAGGAAGCAGTTCTACTCTATCACACATGGGGATCGCTGTAAGGCAGAAATCACTTGAGGGCAACAGGCGTGGTTTGGGTTTATGGCCATTTTACAGATAAGGAAACCCTCCACTGACTCTTACACACCTCCATCTTTCGGTTTTTTTCCTCTGCCAGAAATTTTATAAAGACAAGGCAGAGCATTTTAGTCCCGAACTTCTCAACACTCTTTGCGGTATGCATTCCAGTTTCCAATCCACAAACACAACCACAAACAGACAGCACAACAAACTACGAAAGAGAGAGCATAGCCTTCCTGATCCTATTTTGGAATCCTTATTAGAGTTACACCTTCAAGGGGATTACGTTCTAGGCCTAGAACGTCCAGAAAGCGCTGCGGCCCTGTGCGCTGCCTTGCGCAAGTTTGCTGTTGACAGGAGATGTTTCTACTCTTTAGGGCAAACTGGTTCTCTCCACTCCTGAACAGTGACAGTTCACAAACATTTCTCTCCAAGTTCAGAGCAAACTAGTTAAGGAAAATCACTGTGCTGACTTGTGCAGAACAGATGGCTCGTGGTTCATAGAGCTTACTAAGTGTGCACAATGGGGTGTGGTTTTGCTTCCTCGGGGACACGTGGTCATACCTGGAGGCATATATGGTGACCACAGTGGCGGCGGGGGTGGGGAGGCCTAAAGTCATCTAGAGGTCGACAGGCATGTTAGATATTGGTTGACATTTTTTGACATCTCACAATGCATAGGAGAGGCCTACCATGAAGAATGGCCCAGCTCTGACGTCCACCTATGCTGAGGCTGAGAAATCCCGAGTGAGACCTCCCGGGAAGGTCTACCGAATAAGGAGTTATACCGCCAACCCAAAGGCAATAGGTTCAAACCCACTAGCTGCTCTGTGGGAGAAAGATGGGCAACCTCCTTCTGTGCTGTTTACGGCCTCTGAAAACCTGCTGGAGGGTCAGTTCCGAGTTGGTTTTGACTCCACAGTACATAACAACAACGTGTACTGCCTTGAGGTAGAGGCAGAGTCGGGATTATATTTGTCGTGGAACTGACCTGCCACTGGCCACTGTGAAGACTTTGTGTGAATTAGCTGGCCAAGGGAGACCTTTCTCAAGACATTTTACTCCCATTCCTTCGCTCAGACGGTAGTAACTACGCAAGTCTCTAGTGCCTATGGGGCCCTTGGAACCAACCTTCCATGGGCTGGTAAAATGTACAACTAGGAATTCAGCCTTCACTCTGACTTTACCTGGCGATTATTCTGTCAACAAAGGATGACACCCAGACAGGAGATATGACTACTTAGCAATTATGAGAATTACACTACAGCCGTCAAAGAGTGGTGTGTCTGAAAGAACATGCCGGGGCCATGGTATTACATCGGCAGGCAGCAGAGATGTCGAGAACATTACTTCTTAAGTGATAAATGCCACCCTTATGGGAGTTCCGATCTTTCCCCGACATGGAAGATGAGGATAAGAAATAGGGAGCTGCCTTTCGGTATTAATGTGGGAAAGAAATGACATATGATTATTTGGGAATCTGTCTGACATGCTTCGGGTACGTGGCCAAGAGGGACGAGTCCTTGGAGAAAGACATCATGCCTGCAAGGGTGGAGGGACAGCACAGGAGAGCAAGACCCTGGAGGAGATGAACTGCCATGGTAACTGGGATAACGGGGCCAGGTGTATCAGAGATAGTAAGACTGGCTCAGGATGGGACAGGCATATTGTGTATAGGGTCGCTATGAGTTGCAAATGACTCGATGACACATAACAACAAAAACATTTGAAAATAACACTTGACTGGTTCATGGCAATAAATGCACGATTCAACTTAACAAGGATTTACAAGAAGACCACTAGTGGGTAAATGCATTTGCGAAGCTCCCACTCCTTGGCTGGTTCACCATCAACCATTTAACCTGGGAAAGCCAGACATTGTCTCGGGAATCCAAGGTCAAAGGGAGGTAAGACTACTACCAGGCATCAAAGAGGAGAGCTGACTTCCTGTTAAGGGCAAGATGGACTAGGCAGCTTGGTAGGAGGTCATGCAATACTCAGGCCAGCACCTCTCTTGTCAAGGGGTAAAATTTAACACTGGAAGAGCATATGAATGTGACCAAAGAGAGTGAGGGTACAGTACCTCTGTACAGGGCCTGACCGGACAGGACTCGAGTGTCTAAGGGAATGTGCAGAACCCACTGCATTCCCTGACATCACCGTGCACCACACTCCGAGGGGTTAACAATCGGTAAAGCAGACTTCCTGCTTCATTTGAGGAGCTCTGCGGGTACAGGACATAGAGTCCTGCCCTGCCAACCTAGAGGCTGGTAGTTCGAACCCACTAGTTTCTCCACGGGAGAGAGATGAGTAGTGTTTTCCCATTAAGGTGCGCAGCCTCAGAAACTTGGTGGGGTGTCGCTGTGGGTCATAAATGAAGTGAGAGCAGCAGGTGGTGACACAGGAGACTATTCCATCCGGACAGGCCCTCCACTGGCTGCAGCTGGGAGGATCTGAGTGAGGGAAAGATACTGTTTTTATTTTTTATTTTATTTATTTATTTTTATTATTATTTGTGTGTGTGTACTGTCAAGTCAGATTTGACTGGTATGGGAGGAGATTGTTTCTCCTTCTCCAGCAAAGCATCTGGTGGATTTGAACCGCACACCTCTGGGATTGCAGGAGGGAAAGATACTTTTAAATGGAGATACTGGGATTCTAGCTAGTAGGACAGACGGAAGAACTAGGAGTAAATGGGAAAATGAAGAGGTAGCATCTTATGTGGACTTCAAAGGAGTTGCAGGGACAATGCGTCACTCTTATTACGCGACCATCTCCTTTTCCTGACTGCAAGAACCTCTGGAACCTTCGCTGTCATCCTCACACTACAAATCTGCAGGGACTTGATGTGAGCAACCTCAAGCATATGACAGGCTCGAGAGGCAGCCTCACTGAGAAGAACCCACATGGAGGTGAGTGGCCCCTGTGCCCCGAGTGCTTCCAGAGAATGCCGTTCTCTGTCTCACAGTCAGAGGCCAGCGCAGGGAATGCTATTTCCTGTAAGTGCAACGCGGGATCAGAGCGGTGACTCATGCTTTGAGAGAAGGGGCAGGGATGCATGGAGACATCTGCAGTGGCCCAGCAGGTGGCGGAGCATACCTCTTGGCCGTCTTTGTTGACGCTGTCTTCGGCATGGCTGGCCACCATGGAGAGGAATTGCAGGAGGCGGTAGAGGGTATCGCAGTTGCAGGGAGGTAGCAGGTAGATGAGGAGTCGCAGGGTGCTCAGCTGTTCCTCTGGCTCCAACACTAGACAAGGCAGGAAAGGACATGGAGGTCAGGCGCCAGGGAGCAATGTGCGAAGGGGGATCCGGACCGTCACATCTCACCCACTCGCCCAGCCACTAGCAGCTCAGCTCTCTGAAGGGCATAGAGGCTGATTCACTTGAAAGCACTTCATTGTCTGTGGGTCAGAACCAACTCCCCAGCAGGTTTTCGGAGGCTGTAAGTTGCTTGAGGGGTGGGGTGGGGGGACTGCCCACCTTTCTCCTGCAAAGCAGCTGTTGGATTTAAACCTCAGCAGGAGAAATATGGGCAATCTCCTCCTGTGTGATTTACTGCCTTTGAAAACCCGCTGGGAGGGTCAGCTAGGAGTCAGTTCTGACTTGATAGGTGACACACAACACCACTACCACACTCATTGTAGTACTGAGGCTGACCAAGTCGAGCCATCGCCCTCACTTCCCATTTCTCTTCCATGGGGTCTGTATTTACACCCCAGAAGGAGCTACGTTAAAAATTCTGGCCAGAGCTACACCACTGGGCTTCCTCTGACTCTTTCTCTTTGGGTTCCTGGAGTTCTCTCCATTTTCATACCAGAAACGCAGGCTTATTTTTGGGGACACACTTGAAGTGAACTCAGGCTCACACTCCAATGCATCAATTTATCCAGCACTTTCTACAGTCTCAGAGGGCATTTGAAAATGTCCCAAATTCTTCTTGGCTATTTTGATTTGTTTTAGAGTGACTTTCTTCTTGCTAATCCTCCCTAGGGTAAATCGCAGAAAATTCCCTAAATAACCCACTCATTGGAGACCAATCAAGAGAGACAGAGGTGATCCGAGCTAACATGCGTTGGGCTTTGATGAGAGTTGGACATGGGAGTATTCCAAGGACCCTTTCCGGGAAAGGGCAGCCTTACTCACGCAGAATGTTGATGAAGGCAGTATACAGCTCCCGGGTGAGAAGGGGGTCTGGCATGTCCCTCAGGAACTCTTTCAACAAGGCAGCCACATCGTGGACACTGTGCTCCTCATCCAGAGTGACATCGATCCCACGGTCGAACTCCTCCCGTAACTGGAAAAGAACAGTTCAGGTGGACATCACATAACACCGTACCTCAGTGGGGTCACATCACACCATACCTCAGCGGGTATTTCCCAGAAAAAGAAGAGCGTTTGGTGATCAGCATCCGCAAATGTGTCACCTGGATCTACAAAATCTCTGGAAGTTAGCCATGAATATAGTTTCGTTGTTGTTATGTGCTGTTGAGTTCCCTGCAACCCATAGCGACCCTATGTACAGCAGCTCTGAACCCTGCCCTGTCCTGAGCCAGTCTCACTACTTCCGACATGCCAGGCCCCATGAATATAAGTTTAGATGTTTAGATACACATTTATATTGAATGAAACTCTGTGGGCTGACAGGCGCTGATGGAAGGTCAGTAACGGCAACCAGAAGGTTGAGGAGCTAAGTGGTGGAGGAGAACTCAGGTCAACGTCAAACGTGGGAGGGAGCTACCCATCTACTGCACAGCCCTTCTGCGTATCAGCAACACTGCCATGTGGGAATCTGGCAATGTTTCACAGAGGCATTCCACGAGAAAGCAGGGAGCTTCTGCACACAAAGACATTCAAAAGCCTTGATAAGCCACTCATGACTAAGGCGTGAAGGATGGCAATCACAAGACGAGAACTGCCTTGGGTTTTTCAGAGTAGCCTGATTAGCAATTCTCTGAAGGATTCCTTGTCTTATCATCGCACTGGGTCTATTTAGCATTTATAGCAACAGGCTCCTATACTAGCGAGAAGGGAGTAATAATACCTCCACACCCTACGTTATTCCCTGACAGCTCCACGGCTTTGAGGCATTATTCCCTGCTGTTGAAATAATTACGTGCGATCATGACTACGCTCTATGTAACAACCTTCTATAGCAAGTCTTTCTTTTGCTCATTCATTGATTCAACCATTTGACAAAGATTTACTATCCATGTCTTCTGTGCTCCGTTTCGAGTCCCAGAAGCGTGGCGGCAAATAAAAGGCCATGTTCCTTCCCCAGCTCCGGGCCAGTAGAGGGACAGGTAACCAGCAGAAGTTCTCACAAATTTTATCCCACAAAGCTTTTATTATAGTGATAAGTGTTCAGAACGGCAAGTTGTAGGCTGCTAAAAGCTGTTTTTAATTAGACTACCCATCCTTACTTGTTTCTTCTTCAAAGTCCATGTAAAAAAAATCCATTTTGTGGATCCTGATCCACACGATGACTTCTTTTTTTTATTTTTCATTTTATTATTTTATGTGCTACGTGTACCGTCAAATCAGATCTGACTGGTACAGGAGGATATTGCACCTCCTTCTCCGGCAGAGCATCTGGTGGACTTGAACCGTGTTCCTCTGGGATTGCAGTGCAGCTTCTTGCTACTAGGCCACCAGAGCTCCCCTACACGATGACTTCTTATTGACTGATGCCAGACAACATACCATCATCAGGCATTAAAAACCAAACAAACCAGTGAGCTCTGGTGGCCTAGTGGCAAGAAGCTGCAACTGCAATCTCAGAGGTGTGTGGTTTGAATCCACCAGGTGCTCTGCTGGAGAAGGAGGGACAATCTCTTCCTGTACCAGCCAGATCTGATTTGATGGTACACACAAAAAATAATGAAATAAAATAAATTTTTTTTAAAAAAAAAACAACCCTAAACTAAATGTACTTCTGTCAAGTAGCAACTGACCCATAGCTAACCCTACATTTGGTTTCCCAGGTGGTAAATCACCTGGGCAGAGAGTGCCCATCTTTCTCCCACAAAACTCCTGGTATATTCAAACTGCCAGAGAGGTGTGCCCTTCAGGTTAGCAGCCCAGTGCCCTACAGCCTGCACTATCTCCCTCATCATGCATTAGGCACCCAGAATGGAACTTGTGGTCATTAGCACCAGTCTGTCTTCAGTGATCTAACCCTGTCATCTTTTCAGAGCATGTAAAAACGTAGAAAATAAATGGACAGAGGGAAAATGTCCTTCTTTTTTTTTTAAATTTTTAAAAATTTTATTATTTTTGTGTGCGTGTACCGTCAAATCAGATCTGACTGGTACAGGAGGAGATTGCCCCTCCTTCCCTGGCAGAGCATCTGGTGGATTCGAACCGTGCACCTCTGGGATTGTAGTTGCAGCTTCTTGCTACTAGGCCACCAAAGCTCCCTGGAAAATGTCCTTCTATGGGCTGATTAATGTGTGTGACCTCAAAATAAGGGTCTTTAGCTCTCTAAGCCTGAAAAGAAGCTGACTAAAGAAGCTACTCTCTCGTGGCCACTGGGTGGATTCAATGACATGCTCTTTGTGAAAACAGTGCACAGGTGAGAGGCTCTAGTGAATGTTACCTTCTTATCTTTCTTCCTGCAAGTTCTCCGCTGAAATGTTGTCTGCTGTTCAACAGTCTCCTGTGGAACTATTAAACAAAACCCCAACTAGCCAAGCAAACTGAAAACATGCTTCTTTTGAAAGCCACTTTTTATCGACAAGAAAAGATACCAGGAGATATTTACTTCACGTAGTTTCAATAATATAAAGAGCTATCATTTCTTTAGCCTTTGCAACTAGAAATCATTTTCTCGAGGCTTCTTCATTGAGTCACTGGGTTCTTTCTTTCTGTTGGAACCAGCAGAGGGGAAACAGCATTGGAATTCTCTTTCAGCCAACAAATGAATTATTTTCTCAAAGGTGGCTTGCCTTTCTGAAGCCATTATGAATATGGATACCTGCCAATCATGGGATACTATTCTTAGAAGTCTAATATCAACTTGTTGCAAGAATGGGACATGGTAGCCAAGGGTACAGAACACTACAGGAAAAAGGAATTGGGGGGGGAATCAGAAGTTCTAGAAAAATGTAAGAACTGTTTCTTTTTGAGAAAAAAAAGCTATAAAATTAGATATTATACAGAAGTATTATTGATGGATTGCATCTCATCTCACATTTTATGATAAAAATGGGCATTGTTTCCTCACCTACTGATCAAGTCCCCTCTGACACTCCTGCTTTATGGCTCAACAAACTAACTTTGGTTGGATGAGATACAGACACATCCAGATACTTTGCTTTTAAATATTCGCTTATATAATGTGACAAGTTTTGAGTTTCTCAGCTGTTTGTTGCCTTTCACTCTTTGGGATTCAGGAGCTAACCGACTGTGAGTTGGTTTGTGGGGCTCTTTTCCTTTTTGTTACTAGGTGAAGGGATAAAGAAGAAACCTTCAGGAGTGGATTTGCATATGCTTGAACTCCACATGAGGCAATGCAGTTGGAAGTCAAGGGAAACACCCAACAGAACCTTCCCATTTCACTTACTTGTCTCACTCTCTTTTTTGAGCTTCCAACTCGGAAAATCCCCACTGTCTGGAGTCCTGAAAAGAAGAAAACAAAACAAACGTATCGTTTTAGTGTTTGGAGCTCGGGAGGAAATCAAATAGAAAATGAACTGAATGCCAATATAGCTCTGTAACATGGAGAACTTGAAGAAACGAGTGAAAGTTTATATACCCACGGAGGAGTAATATGTTGTGCGAGGTCAATATGTCTTTTAAGTGTCTTTTAATCTAAAGGCTTTCCACTCTCTACTTTTTCCTTGTCATTTCCTCGGTGAGGCAACAGAATTGCCTCCCCGCTATATAACCCTGCCATCTGGATTTGGACACCCTGCTATTAATTACACCTTCTTCTCATCCCTTTATTTCTTGTAAAGTGGTAACTTAAGTCTCCATCACCGAGTCACCTCTGACTCATAACCCTGTAGGACAGGTCCCCAGGGGCTTGTAAGGCTGTAAATTTTGACAGGAGTGGACGGCCTCACCTTCCTCCCACGGAGCAGCAGGGGGCAGTAGGAAGCCCCGGACTCACACTGTATGATCAGGGCTCGCAGAGCTCTCCAGAGAGCTTTACCATTTCCTTTAGAGCGATGCCTTCTTATTACAAATATATCTGATATATTACATTGTTGATAATAATATGAATTAACAGCGCAGGAGGGGAAGACCCTCTATGAGATGGATTGATTCGGTGACTGGGGTAATCGGGATGGGTGTGTCAGAGGCGGTGCGGTTGGCGCAGGATAGAGCAGGGTTTAGAGCTGTTGTGCATAGGGTCGCTGTGAGTCGGAAACGACTTGATGGCACATAACAACAACAACAACAACATTGCATAACTGATTATTGCTCTGACATAGGACATTGGTATCTTTTTGCATACTGTTTTGCAACATTAAGACTGGTTTTTACTGTTTTCCAAGGTTTTGTGGTTTGAGTGTTTTGGGTTTTGTAAAAGACTATCACACCCATAAAGATTCCATGTATTAGCTCTGTTTGGAAGCAGGAGTGGCATCCACTGCCTAAACAACATGCCTCCGGAAACCTCTATGAACTTTGATAAATGTCGATAGTTGTAGAGGGCCTTCAGGCCTTTTGTTCACAAGGTCGCTATGAGTCGTGCTCGAAGGCAATCATCAACGCCAACCAACAGAGGTAGAGAAACAGGGAAAGCATGATGAATAGCAGGTCCTACTTTAAAACCACCCTACCTTCTAGAAAGAAAGTATGGGCCTCTCCTGTTTATCTTCCTGAGCACCTATGTCTCGGGGAAATAAAAGAGGCTTAGGAATTGGCCCCTGGTAGTATAGAAACCCAGGGAGGAGAGATATATGTAGGAAAGGGCTGTCCTGAGCCAACCTTACCATCTCTGACACACTTGACCCCATTGCCACAGTCACTGTGTCACTTCATGTCATTAAGGGTACGGGGCATGGATTTAGATGGGCTCAAATCAACATCAATCTTGGAGAAGGTAGAAAGAGCTTTGACATGTGTTGATAAAGATAAAGTGAACGAAGCCTTTTGCTACTTCAAAATCTGACAGCATCTTAAAAAAGAAATGCTTTAGGAGTTTCCTTTTTGTTCCATTGGTCTAAAGTAACCAAGATTACTATCTGCTTGAATTGGAACAGAGTTTGGTTTAAATACCTTGGAAGTCCAGGAGATCCAGTTTATCTCCAAGCCTTTAGGCCCTAAGCTGCGTTGTAGCATTTCCAAACAAAAAAAGCCAACTGCCTAGTTTTTGAGCAATCCTGACCAAATGCTGCTTTAGAAACTATACGGTGTGCCAGCGGAGGCAAAGAAGGAAATGAAAAGAAACACTTGAATTTTCTCTGACAAAAGCAGTTACTCAAATCAGCACTAGATTTTTATGTGACTGGAACGATCCGCTTTTGAAAAAATGCTTGATGTTCCTTGTCTATATTCTTTCTAGGGACCATTTAAAATTATCAAAGCCTTTCTTCTACTTAACAATGCCATTCACTTCATTATTTTCAATTGAGTGCAGGTTTTCAAATCACATATTCTTTCGGACACTGCCAATACCTATCCCTTTTCCATTAAGGTGTCCATATGTTGTCCTGTGATTTTGACGCACAATGAGTTAAGACATTTAGATACATATCCAAAAAAATGTCTTTTCCTTTCTCACTTCCCCCTCCCATGCATACAGTTTGACTTATACTTTTATTAGATGATCCACGAGCACGTTCCTCCTGTAGAGCAGCTGGCGTCCTTTAATTGCCTGCCATTCAGCACTACTTTACCTACCAGGCCACCAGAGCTTCCTTTGACTCAGTGACATTTTAGGATACCATAAATCACCCTAAACTACCCTAATAGAGTAGTTAAACTCTGCTATAAAATGTCACTGATGAAATGACCTCACCTTCATAGAATCAAACGATTATCTTTTTCTCCTAATGAGTAGCCGGTGGGTTTAAACCAGCAACCTCTTAGTAGCTGAGGACTTTAACCACTGTACTATACCAGGGCTCCTCATTAGAAAGAATGATAGAAGCCTGTTCATAGTAGTTGTGTCTGTGTTATAGCCCCCTGAAATGTCAGGTTGGTTTTTCTTAAAAAAAAAAAATTTTTTTTTTTTTTACAGAGAACATACTATTTTTATAGTAAAGCAACAATTTAAGAGACTTTTCCTCATGGACATGGGATGTGTTGTTTGCCTTTGAATTGGAACTGACTCAAAGCTGACCCTCTGCAGGGTTTTCAGAGGCAGTAAATCACATGGGAGAAGACTGCTCATCCTTCACTCAGGGAGCAGCTATTGGATCCAAATCGTGTGCCTTTCGAAGGGAAGCACAGCCTCTTACCAAGAAATCAAACATATTGAAATGGTGGAAATGGCAGAGTGATGGAGCCCAAAGACTGAATGAATTTGACAAGATATTTTTCAAGACCTGTCTTGCTATTTTTTAAAATGTCTTACTATTATTTTTAAGTCAACAAATTAACTAGCTGCCATAAAGGTCATGGTGAAGGTTTTCCTGTGGCTGACTCTCACGGAAACCTGCTGTCAAAGCCATGCATGTACGAGGCATTTAAGCCAAGGTTTTCAACTATTTCCCCCCCCTTTATTTAAGATGTTGGAGTAACTTCAATGTATAAATAAAGATCAAAGGAGCTCTGTTTTGATTCTAGGGGCCCTTGGGGCAGAACGAGTCACCAAACCCCATCTTTTCCCCAAATCACTTGGCTTGCAGCCTCACTTCTGAGGAATTTCGTTGGCTTAACAGTCCGAACACAGACTTTACCCAGGATCTTGTTCAACCCTGTGATCTCTTAAGCAACGAGTCAACTTTTTCACAAAGGACATTCCAGCCCGTGTCTGATTAAAATAAACAAAAGTTGAAATCGGGTTGGTAAATGAATGATGCTTGAATACAGGAACGTCTCTGGTTCGCAATCACCCAAGGCCTAGGTCGCTTACCGTACTTTTCTAGATGCTGACAGCAGCTGTCCACCAGCCTGGGGACCTGTCTGTAAATAGGGTTCAGACTGAGTTTCTTATCTCTGGCCTTTTCTTTCTTATTTTTCGCCTCGGCTGGCAAGGAGAGCTGCAACGCTTCTAGAAGTCGAGACTGATTGTCATCGAGATCCGTGATTGAATCCACTGACATCGCACCCTGCGAATGACACACAGGTGTGAACCAAGAGTACAGATGCTGGCCAGTAAACACTCTTACCCCAGGGATTCTATTTTTTTTTTAAAGAAACATCTTTTTCTGTGTGTGTGTGTGTGTGTGTGGTGTTTTTATTATTATTATTTTTTTTTATGTGTACCGTCAAATCAGGTCTGACTGGTACAGGAGGAGATTGCCCCTTCCTTCTCCAGAGCATCTGGTGGATTTGAACCACAGACCTGCAGGATTACAGTACAGCTTCTTGCCACTAGGCCACCAGAGCTCGCCGCCCCAGGGATTCTTTATCACTCTTATAATGATATGACTTAAATGAATTGTGCTGTTTGTATACGCATTTTGAAAAAGGCAGGAAAGCAGCACAACACAGGGTAAACTATCAAGAGTTACAATTTCAACATAGACAATATTTTCCAAATGGAAGAGAAGAGATGTGAATCATATAATTAAAATACTTTGGCTGAACCATTTCATTTCTCGAATCACTTTAAAAAAAAAACACAACCACATATTCAATGAATGAGATAGTCATAAACATCTTGCAAAAAATAATAATAAAATCTAACTGTGACAGCAGGAAAGCAGATTTTGAGCCGGAGGAGTCTTCTAAGTCTGCCTTAGTGTGGTTTGCCCCAGAAGCAGCACGAAGTGCCTTATTCTGGATGTGGTCCCAGGAAACCTCTGCAGGGCACTGGGAAAGGAAGACAGGTGAGGGAAGGAGTATTATCAACACCGCCTCTGGGCTGCTGGAGCAGTGTCCCAGAGGAACTCGCCTGGTGCTGTTGTGAGCTGTCGAGTAGGTACTGACCCTGCACTGGGTTTTCCAAGGCAGTCAATCGCACAGGAGGAGACCGCCCATCTTTCTCCTGTGGAAAACGGGCACTCTTCTTCCAGAATTCAGTGAGGAAGTTTGACAAGAGAAGATGGAAAATTTGACAACTGAGGAACATGGTGATGTTAAAGGTTCTGACTATCATGGTGGAGAAGTCTAACAAAGGAGAGGCACCCCAGGGTTTTGAGAGGGGCCCCAGGGGCCATAACTGTGTAAAAGCTCTCTGAGAAGAGCTGCGGTTTGATCCCCGGATCTGAACCACTTAGCCAGGCTCTACGCGAGCACTGTACAATCAATAACTTTACTCACCCTCCTCCTGGCCCGAGGAGCCGGCTCGGGGGTGTTTGGGGATGCCAGCTCATTGGGTGTTTCTGAGGTTGAGCTGAGAGATGAGTTACTGCTTGAGAGTTCCTTGTTTTGTTTCTTATTTCCAAACGGGAGAAGAGAAGGCCCGGAATCCGCCGCATCCTTTTGCTCCTCCTTCTGCAAGTCCTGCTTGAGTTTATAGGCTCGGTCGTTGGCGATGACTTGGGATAAGGGCATTCCGAACGCCTGCGGGATGAATTCTGGAAGAGAAACGTAAGCATCCACTGTCAGAGGAGCCTGGTCCCAGGACCCTCCCTCCCACTTGACCGCACACAGCTACATGACTGCCTTCCCCATTATTGATTCCTCAGGCAAAAATTGGAGAGGGCACTTGCGTTCCCAAAGTGTCCTCTTCAATGAAGAAAGCCAGTAGATCTGAAGAACATAAGGTTTAATTGAGAAACTGAGGCCTCTAGTTGTTCCTCTGGCTTCAGTTGGTCGGAATGGAAATAACTTTATTGAAAAGTGTGGCATTTGGGAATCAAATATAAGTAATGCATGGCTCTCATAAACACGTCATTTACAAATGGTTAATCTGGAGTTTAGAGGATCAAGAGGCCCTGGGGCCAGCAAGGTGAGGGGAGGCTACCTTATCTACTGACGAGGCATTTCTTAAACACCAGCATTAGTCTTAGAAAAATACAGCTGGAATACTTGGCGAAGCAGGGATGGCATCAATTGTGCTCATCTGTTTGCACACAGTAAGCCAGCAAACACTACGAAAGAGCCTCATGTTTGGAAGAGGATCAGTGACAAGCTGGGAAACCCTTCACGAGATGGACTGAGACGGTAGCCAGAACCTAGGGGGCTCAAGCCTGCCAACGATGGTGAAGCTGGCACAGGGGCTGAGCACGGCTTCACTCTGTGAGGTTACCAAGAATCACAGCCAACTCGCCCGAGCCACCAGCAAGGACGTCCTGATACTCTTCACAATGGAGGGACGGGGCGTACCAAGTTCCCCTCTTCGCGCATAACGGGTTCAGAGTGTGGGAGGTAGGAAGACTGGAGAGTTAGGTAAGATATCACAGAGGTGAAGACAGAAATTTGGTTATGTGGATCTTAACCCAAGTCTCCAGTAAGAAGGTCACCTCAGGTCACTGCTGGCAAGTCTGGGCCGACTCATAGCTGACGCTCCAATGAATGGGTTTCTGTGCCTAAACTGTACAGGAGACTGCAGTACGTCTATTTCAATTGGTGGATTCAAACTGCCTTTGCTTCAGCTGTGGAACCAACTCCCTACAAACCACGCTCCGATGAGTTCCCTTAGTACAAGCATACAGACAGAGGGACTGATAGCTTGGGTGGCAAAGGAGCACTCTGAGAAGTCTGTTCTTCTGTGGTTGTGTTCCTCCCTCCCAACTCCTACCTCCAGCCATAGGTGTTGGAGTTGCCACTCTCGTAACCTCCATGTAAACCGTGCTGCTGGCCACATGCAGAAGTGCACTCTGCCACAAACTGTCTAGCTGGTTACAGTTTGGGAAGCGCTTTACCTTCCATGAGGGTAGTCTGGGGGACAGGGCCTCATGCAGGGCTCTATGGGTCTCTGCGGTGGATTTATCTACTTATACATTGCATTGTATTGGCAACATTCTAACTTCATGCTGAAAAGCATTGAAAATTGAATTAAATGCACGGTTTCTTTTAGACTCAAAATGAGAAGGTTCGCTCAAAGCAGCAAATTGGAGTCCAGCCTTGCACTTGTTTTCATAACTCCTATGAATGAAACCAGCATGATCGAGGGCAAATATTCTAAGGTTGTTTGTTCTTTGAAAGGAAAAGCTAACATTAAATCAAGTGGAAAGCAGCTTTGAAAGGTTTTCTGCCTTGATCCATGACAACATTTTTAACATCACTGGGCTGATGGCCAGTGGAGCCCTGGTGGCACAGCGGTTAAATGCTTGGCTGATAACCAAGAGGTCAGCAGTTGAAATCCATGGGCCACGCTGAGGGAGAATGATGAGGTAGCCTGTGTTCATAAACTCATCACCTTGGATGCCCAGTGGGGAAGTTCTACTCCTACAGGGCCGCTATGAGTCTGAATTGACTTGATTGCAACTGGTTTGGTTTTGTTTTCTGGTTTGGCCATGTCTCCATCAAAAGCAGAAATGGTCTGTAAAAACCTGTACGTCTAGTGCAACCACTGTGGAAGGCAGTACGGCTCTTTCTTAAAAAGTTGCAACTAGAGATACCATTTGACCCAGCAATTCCACTACTGGGAATATACCCTAAAGAGACCATAACTGGCATACAAGCCGTTATATGCACACCCATGATTATCGCGGCTGTATTCACAATAGCAAGGAGTTGGAAACAACCTAAGTGCCCATCAACAAATGAATGAATAGAGAAGCTGTGGTATATTCATTCACACAATGGAATACTATGTTGCATTGAAAAACAAGGAACTTAGGAAATATTTTTCAAAATGGGGGACTCTGAAGGACGTTACGCTGAGTGAAGTATCTCAGTCATAAAAGGACAAGTACTGCAAGGTGTCACTGTTATAAAACAGGACTGACCTTGGGGTTGGGGAGAGACTAAGATGGCTTCAATGATGTATACTGTATTGAAACAGATGAGCGAGAAAACGGTTTAAAAGGGATATGTGATTAGGTATTTTGCCATGGCAAGAGTCTAGAGTGAAGGCTCCATGGTGGAGTGGACCTGGGGGAGGGTTTGTAAAGCAATGAAAGAATTTGTCTTTTACTTTTCCAAGAGGGTAGTGTACTAGGGGAGAGGGTTGGGAGGGGAGAAAAGTGCAACAATGAATGAATGGAAATCCAAAGTCTCTGTAAATTTTTACTCAAATTAATAATAAATTTAAATTAAAAAAGAAAAAAAGACTAAGAGGTACCTGGGGGGGAAAAAAACCAAAACAAAAAAAAAAACACCCTGCACCTCTGGCTCTGTAGCTGGCATGCAAACGTTCATGAAGTAACAAATCAAACCTTCAGCATTTGGAGATTTCCTTCCCCCCCCTCCCGGGGGGATGCTAGTCATTCTCCAGCAGCAAGCTAGAAGATGTGCGTGATGAGAATACTATATGAAACCCGGCCATTTCTCTTTTGACTGATCTGTATGGACAGTGTGTCGTTGTGAGGTGCTGTGCAGAAGTGCTGCATGGGCATTTCCAGACTGTGGCCCTTCCTTCCAGAAACAGATGGCTAGGCCTGTCATCTCGGGATGTGCTAGAACCACCAACCTTCCAGATACTAAAGGAGCGCTTCACCACTTACAAGGCCTGGCGACTTCTGTGGCGAGTGTGGCAGCTGCCAGTGCTCACGGCACAGAAAAGGCAGTTTCTCCTGCTAGCAAAACCAGTGAGCAAAGGCGAGGGGCCACTTCAGAGGATTTGCGCCGTACGCTGAGGACTTGGCTGGCAGCTACAGAAGAGCACGGGAGATGCCCAGAGATGATAACGGCAACAGTGATAAATGCACTGAGTTGCATGCATAGGCCCCTGTAGGCAAGCTAATTGGAGAGAATGAATGTGACATGGAGACCAATGATGCTTTTTTGAGCCATTTTATCCGAGCAGGGAACTAAAACAGATTCCTTGAGAAATTTCAAGTAGTTGAGGGGTGGGGGAAGAAGAAAATAGTTTCCTTTGGAATCTCATTTTTAATATCTGAAAGCCTGTTGTTCATCTATCAAGTGAAACGCCCTGTTACTGACAAACAAGGGCACTACACAGGGGTGGTTTTTTTTTTTTGTTTTTGAGGGGTTTTTTTAAAGAGCACACCTCCCCCCTGCATTACTTTCCCAGCCGTGCTATTAGCATTCTATGCATGTGCTGGCCAGTGGAGAGAGCACATTGTATGCAAAAATATGGTAAGTTAGCACAAATTAAACAGGTGAAACAGAGGTCACTCTACCTCACTAAATTCTTACCTTTCTTTTTCTCCACATTAAAAGATGCCAAAAGATCCCCCCCCCCTTCTTGTGCTGCCAATGCAAAGACATAGGGCTACTCTGAACCCACAAGCTGCTCCCTGGGATAAAGGTGGGCAATCTCCTCCTGTGTGACTTACTTCTCTTAAAACCCACTGGCCGGTCAGCGATGAGCTGATTCTGGCCCGATGAGACGCAGCAGCAGCAGTGGTGGCAGCAAGGACAATTCTGTTTCCTTATGGAGTGTCTTAGTTCTGTGGGGATGGAGTTTTACATGATCTAGCTTCTTGTTGATTTTCCTTAAAGACCCTTACAAGCTTGGAAAGGAGATTTCTCGAAGCTTCTACTGGAGTGTTTTACTTCGTCTCGGAATAATTCTAGGCCAGATCCTGGGATATTATTGCTTCCTTTAACACGGCTGCTGTGAAGCTAAGGGCTCCTCACAAGCTCTATTGAACAAACCTTTCCTCTATAGGTAAATGAACAACTATGGATCTATTTTCTCCCATGGCTATGTAAAGACATTCACAACCTCCCGCCCACTGTGGTGCAGGAGAACTGCTGCCACAAACGTCCCTGTGTCCCGTTTCCTGCTCCTTTCATGCCCACTAAGGGTAGGCCTGGCCAGGAGTGGTGTCCATAAGTGGTATGTCCTTAAACTTGGAGGCCTAAGTACACTGTTAGTGTTATTCTAAAGCCTTCCTCCCCTGTTTATAGGCCATGGCATCTCTGTCATAACTACTTATTCTGCCAAAGTGATGCAAAAGCAGCCATAGATGATATGTAAGTACATGGGCATGACTGTGCTCCAATAAAACTTTATTTATAAAACCAGGCAGTCGGCCAAACTCAGGGATGAATGATATACCTTTCCATGCCAGAATCTTTTTTCCTAACAGAATATGTAAAAAAACCCTTGAAACCTATTCTCTCAAAAGATCACTTTGATATTTTTCTACAGTTGACATTCTCCCAAGTGTTACCTGTGTTTTTCTCACCTGCCACTCTCTCTTGTCTTATCCGTTCGGCTGTCACCCCCAGTGTTACTCTAAAATACCTCTCTCTAACTTCATTGCCAACTTGATGCTCCTTAAATTCAGGGTTTTAACCAGTTCTCTCACAGGCAACCAATCACCCTAGTGGCCACTCCTCAGACCACTCTCTGTCCTGGCACCTTGGACAAGGTTAAGTTTCCCCCCGACTTGCCAGGAGCTCTGTTGGCTTAGCTCAGTCTGTAGGGAGCTGTGATGCTAACCCACAGGCCATACCTGTCTGGAGGTTCAAATTCACCAAGGGCTCACTTGGAGAC